AATGTACAAAAATATTTTCTATATATTTAGCAGCAGTTTCTAATGTAATTATATAATTTCCCATCAAATTATATTTTAATATTTATAGAACTAGCTGGAAATACTAAAACAAACTAAAGAACTCATGTAGGACTTTCCACAAAATGTTTCAGAAGTTTTTATTGTATATTTTTTTGATCCTTAAGATTATGTTTCTTAACTTGACAAACCGTATAACTATTAGGTATAACCTATATCTTTTTTTAAAATATTTTTAAAGTCGGCTGTTAAATTAGAGCCATTTAGTGAATGCATGTAAGACTTGTCATAAAATGTTTCACTACTTATTTAGCAATAGACAGCTGCCTATCCATGATGGAAAAGCTAATCCAAGCCAAAATACCTCTGAAAAGGACGGATATTCCTCAGGCGACAGGCGACTCAAATCGCGAGATTCCCGAAGCGCTGAGAGGGCGCATCAAATCCACTGACAGATGACACGGAAATTCGCTTTTTGCAAGCCCAGGACCAGAACCCTTTACCGAATATGTCGAATATGGGGTAATATTAATCTCGGGCCCCTTGAACGCGGCGATGCATCAAACAAGATTGACAATACCTCATTCAGATCAATAACTCGCTGTGGGTTAAACGTATGAGAGTCAACCCCCAAATGAAATTTGGTGACACACGCATTAAAAAAGACGCCGACGTTTTTGCAACCCTTTCGCGAAGTGGCATAAAAAATTGCGCTACTCTAGGGCAGGCGGAACGAACAAGTGCTGGACATTCTGCACTCGAAAAAAATATGAGTTTGACAAAAGATACGATTCTTTATGAAACATTGGGAATGCCAGAAAAATTAACTTTCAGATGATAAGTCTGAAAATTATTAAAAACCAATCTTTGCAAGAATCGTATAGTATACAAAAATCCCTTCTCAGTTTTAGTTAAGGATACGACAGTTAAACAATTATACAAAATAAACCCATATAAATTGCTTTAACAAAGAAGTGAATAGAAGAAGAAAACTGCAAAAGGTAAAAGGAATTGAAAGGTGTATAATTAACACCCGATCTTTTAAAATTATTTATTTTCTAGCTAATTATTTTCAGTGTCATGGGGCGGTGTTATGGCGAAAGCGGAAATGAAATTAAGCGAAAATATGTTCCCAACCAGCGAGCCCCGCACGATTTTTGCCGGCTCTTCCTCTAGATTAAATTAATCAATTTAACCGGCAGCCCAGAGGAGTGGATGAAATTTATAAGAAGGGGTGAGAGGGACTCGATCGAGACATACCATTAGCATGATTTAGTGCGGCGACCCCGCGGCTTCATTAGCATAAAACAGTTCTTATGGCCATTCTAGGAAGCCGAGCCATCGACTTTTCCCAAACAATCGCAGCGTTTACGGCCAAACGGAGATTGAAGTCGGATCGGTGAGAGCGTTGGTTACTGTATAATTTTTATGATATTGCCCGATTGTCTGTTCTGTTTTTATTTATTTTAACAGTCGTTCCCTGCGGCCAGAAACATTTTATCCTCAATTAATTCATCATTATTCGAGGTTTCCCTGGTCTCCGATTCGACTTCGTTACACGGAGTCAGTCAATCTTCCCAGTCATCAAATTTGTGGCTTTTTATTCGATTTCAGGCGAATTTTTATTTTCGTTTTCTTTGTGCCTCTCAGTCTTTGGCTGTGTGTGTGTGTTTTGTTTAATTTTAATTTATTTACATTGAAATTCAATATTTGGTAAATGTATTTTTAATTTTACTGCTGTTGATTATTACTGACCGATCTGATGAAAAGGAATTCACGTTATTGCCCAGCCTCAGTTCGAGGCCGTAAAAATCCATCACCCAAATGGAATAGATCCCCCAATCGAGATACGGACTCGCCCGGGTGTTGGGCACCATTGGAATATGACACATGGCAAACACCTCGTAAGCTTTTCCTTTTTATGGACTGCGAAGAACTTTCGGAGAAGTTCAACGACTCGAGCACCGAGATGGGTTTTGTGTTTTTGGGGAAATCTCTTGAATAAACATTCCGATTTAAATGGTCGAGCCTTTCAATTTTGAGATGGCTGATTAGCAATTACTGGAGCAATGAAATTGGGGCTTACAGACTTTAGTGGGGAAATCGGAATCGGTTTTTCATGATTTATCTTTAAAGTGATGGTATAGTATAGGAGGCTTAAATAAAAGGTGGCACCTGCATAACTTTCAAATAGTTTTCAACGGTTTTATCATTTTGAAGGGAAAGCCATTTATTTATAAAATCATTTCAGAGTGCATGTCATAACGCTTGTGGGCTCTACGACACTTTTTAAGTTGGCCTTGTGACATTTTGAGAGCCAACGGACTTTACGGCAGTGGGCGTTATGAAATGCACCAATCTTTTAGTCCTTTCTCTGGTAAATTCAATTTGGATTTGAAAATGTAATGAAGTACTTCCAATTCAGAATGGTCGAAACACCACATATCTATCTATATACCAAAAAGGAATCATTGTTCAAACTCCAACTATTCCGAATACTTCTTTCGAATGCACCAATCGTTTTTATACTTTCTCTGGTAATCTCAACTTAAATTTGAAAAGTTTAAGAAGAAGTTCTAATTCAGAATTTTCGATATACCAAAAACGAATCATTGTTCGAATTCCAACTATTCCGAATACATCTTTCAAATGCACCAAGCATTTGTAAACTTTCTCTGGTAAACTCTTCTTAAATTCGAAAATGTTACAAAGAGTTCTGATTCAGAATAGTCGATATACCAAAAATCATTGTTCGAATTCCAACTATACCGAAAACTTCCTTCAATTCAGAACCGATCTCATCTGAATTGAATGGCAAATTCAGCCCAAATGGCAAACAACTTCCGATTAACCATTCGATTGTCCGCATCAATTGGGCAACCCGATAAGTTGCAGCTCCAGCGTTCTGGTTTCGTTCGCCGATACGGCAAACGTTCCAATCTGGGCCCCACAAAAAGGGAATAGACAATGCACCCGATACGTACTCCTCCATCCCGAAAAACCCGAAACCCCAACGCAGTTGCAGTTACGAAAGGAGCGCAAATATGTGCAAAAGGCGAAGGGATGGGGATGGGGGCGAATGCATTTGCGGAAATGTGTGCGCAACATGCAACATAAATGGAAATGCCGTTTGGAAAACATATTGTTTTTGAGCCCCATTGCAAGGCCCTGCCTACACCCCTTCCCCACTTTTCCAGCACCCCCTGAAAATGCACTAATTTTCCTAACGCGCCCCATGAGGCTGTAGTCGGAAAAGTGGGCGGTGGGTGGCGCACATTTTAGAAATTGGACGGCATTTTTCGTTGAATTGTGTGCTGATTGTAATTCATTCCGTGTGTGTGTGTGTGTGAGAGTGAGTGTGTGTTTGGCCAGTGTACACAGGCAGCCACTCCCCCATTTCCACCGCCCCCCTGCACAAACACACACAGAGGGAAAATTTGAAAATTTTGATTGCATGTTTCGATACAAAATGGCGCTGCAAAAACGAACTCGAACTGATGATGAGGCATGCCAATCCTGACGAGGCGGAGGACGGAGGACGCAGGATTGCCCAGTGGTTCGGCAAAAAGGGGACCCTCCCCTCTGCAGGAGGGGTTGGGGGTCCTGGGGCCCAAATTGCAGTGCGTCCTGGACGCTGGACGCTTTTGTGCGTTGGCTGCGCCGGGTGCAAATGTGCATTTTAGATCGTCGAAGCGTAAATTAGGATTTCAAAATGACATTTGGAATATTTACGACTTGCCAGCGCAGACCCTATACCATCTGCATACCCCATACCAGACCAGAGTTAGGAACCCAGTGCCCAGGAACCACCCAGCCCACCGTTGTTGTTCATGGTAATTGCGTAGCCGGCTGCTCGATGATGTCCTGTCTGTTTGTGAACACACAGGTAGAAGGGCAGGTGAGTGCGACTGCGTTCGTATCGGTTTTCGAAATTGCCAAAAAGCTCCCTTTGTTGAATTATGCAACTTAAAATTTGGCACAGGCCCGTCTCAAAATTGCCAAAATAGAAGCTTTTGATTGGAAAATTGTTTGATTGGTTGCAATTTCGTGTTTAAATATTTTCACAAGCCCACAAAGGGGCAGATAGAGAAAAATGCTCACATTTTCCCGTATGCCTGGCAAAAAGTTACTGTGCCAAAACATGCAAAACCACTCAGAATTTCGTTGAACCTGGCCAAGTTTTTAAGGGGCAATCAATCTCTCGGGCATCGCATTTCTCGAGTCAAACTTGTCATTGCCCCCAAGGCGAAAAAAAATGAAATGGAATCCAAAGCCTCAGTATTCGGTGGTATTCAGGATCCCGTCACCCAAGCATCAATGTCTACCGACTTCAAAATAGACTCTCAAAAAAACACAAAACAGCAAAAAAAGCATCATAATAAACGGCAAAGTAAAATTATACAAGTACCAAAACTCATACTACCCCACACATGTCAAACAAGAAGTATAAACCCAAATACACTTGCAGCTTCTGTAAATATGTGTATGGTGTGCACTGAAAAAAATATTTGTAATCTAAGCATTTTTTAAAAATTTTAAATCATTTTTAACATTTTTTAAACAATTGTGCTTCTGAATTGTTAATGGTAAATATAATTACAGTAACAGTTTTTGATTCTAAAATTTGAGTTGAATTTCGCAGTAATCTGGCGATGAAGATATTTTTTCCAATACACCACATCATAATATACTTTATTCCTTTAATATAAAATATAAGATTGCCTTTAATTATATAAAGTAAATTAAATATTTTCAGTTGACAGGCTGTAAATATAAAGTCAGTTATACTAAATATAGTCAGTTATTGTAAATATTTTACATTATTAAATTTTCTAAAACCCAAAAACCTTTTATTTTTCAACATCATATTTCAAATTGATTTCTTTTCAGTGCACATATTGCAGATACACATATATTTTGTATATTTTCCATTTTCACCGAAATAAATAAACATCATCAATGTCAAATGGAAATCACTCGCATTGGCAGGCACCCCGGGAAGCGAAATGGCATTGGGTGGGAGGTGATTCGGTGGGTGGTGTGTGGTGGGAGGGAGAAAGTGGGTGGCCAGCCCCTGGCATTTGCTTTTTATGAAACTATTTCAAATTGTGAGACCAATTCGCATAAAGTTTTGTCAGCGCGCCTGTGACATGTGAAATGAAACCAAATAAGAAAGTAACGCTGGGCTTCGGGTGCTGGAAATAAAATATATAAAAATAAATGTCAATATCACCGCTGTCCGTCCATCGGGTGTTTATTGACATTTTGGCAAACGCAAATCTCGCCGAGCCTGCGAATCCGAATTCGCCTGGGAGGTCGACATCGTCGTTCTCGTTTTGGGTCTCGTTGTTTTCCCTGCCGTTGGTGGAAAACATATTTGAAAACCATTGGCACATGTCCTTATGAATGATGTGCTAATGTGACAGACGCCAGAGAGTTTTTTGTATATTTTTTATTGATGGGAAACGGTGAGTGGTTTTGTGGATGGCTCTGTAATAGGTTTTTGATCCGCGATAGATGTTAAGCTTTAAGGATATTCAAAGAAATTGTATTTCAATATTATTTGAAATTAAAGTAATTTAAATAGAATTTTGGTATATTAACTTATAAAAGTATAATTTTACCAACACATTCACTCTTCATTTGATGCCAGACATGTCTCCTCGCAATCCCTTTTCGACCAGAAGCGATTATTATTTCCCCCAGATCCCGAGTAAATAAATGGGATGCATTCATATATTTTGGAGTTGTAGGTGTACATGAAGAAAGCTTCTTCCGTCGTAATTCCTTGGCTGTGTGGTAAACAACACTGGGCTATAATATTCCAGTTAGTAAATTAGATTACGATAATACACATTTACTCACGTGGACTTTTGGCACTAATCAAGGTGAAAACCACACTGAGATATAGGTGTTGTATTAAGAGTATCATTGGGAATTAAGATATGAACCGACCGTAGTATAGGTTTTTTGTAAAATCCATATGTGTTATTAACGCAACGAATTTAATTAAAGCATTCAGTTACGGATTCACCGTACTGTTTTATTTAAAATCCTATTTAAGTCTTGGAGTATTCAAGATTAGATTTATTTTTAAAGTCTGAATTTGGATAGGTGCTCGTCTTAGGAATTTTTTATGTGACCCTGGGTATCTGCTTTGGTTCCACTCTCACTGATCTCAATTACAGGCGCGCCCTTCCCCGCCGATTTTTCCCAACAGCCCCCCATTCCACAATTAGAGGCAATTGTTGAGCGCAGCTCCATCCACGAATCGTCTGAAAATCAAAACCTCCCCAGGGCTGCATAAATTAAAGGCTTGCTTGACGACCAAAAAAAAAGAAAGCAAGGAAAATAAAATCTGCACCGGTTCGGGGGTTCCCCGCCTGCTCCCCAACCACGTGCTGGCATTGCGCGACACAAAAGGCGAGCAACAAAAAATCGCTCTGGGACAATGACAGGCCCCAAAAGCGGCTGCCAGGACACTTTCCCCACTTTCCCCCGCCCGCCCCGTAACAGCATATCCTTGGGAGAATGCTGCACCACAGAATTCCAAGAAAATGCGACAGTTTTCGTTTTCCCTCCGAGGAGTGGGGGATGGGGATGCTGCTGGGAAACGCATTTGACACGCGGCGTGCGACATTTATCAAAAAAGGTAAATGGGAGCGGGAAAAAACGAATAACTTAAAAAAACAGAAACCGAAACGGAGACAGGAATTGTGATTGATCGGCGGCCAAGTGTGTTCCTTATTCGATTTTTGGGATGGAAATGGGGAGTGGCTATTACGGTTGACCTTTGGCACGTGTGCTTCTTGAATAACCCTTTCGAAATGCGGTCTACCATTATGTCTTTTCCCATTTTATTGACGCTAATCAATCATTATCGTGGGTTAGGTACTCATAAGTGAAGTCTCCTGAGCAAAGAACGTGAATTACATATTTCATTGTGATCGATTCGATGGTTAAGAACAAGTCACCAATTCTTTTTATGAATATAAGGGAATAAACCAAATATTTTAGATTGGGTTTCCCATAGACAATAATATATATAAAATTCAATGTTTTGCATTGCATATTTGAATAAAATACAAAAACGTTATATTTAATGCAAAATATATTAAATGGCCTGATTTCATTTGAAATACTTGATATTTACACTTTAGGTACGATGTCATTTATATTTATGTATATTTATATTTATTTATAAACGATGTCATATTAAAATCAAAGGTTAAAATCTTTAAGCTAAATATACTATTTGTAAGCTTAAATTAAAAATAAAAAAACCAGCAGAGGATACAAAATAAAGCAAAAACATTTATATTTAACAAAAAATCTTCGAATTTACTAAATTTTTATTAGTGAATGAAAAATATACGCTATATAAATTTGATCCCTTAAAATCACAATAAAATGTAAGATCAAAAAAGTTAATTTAAATATTTACATTTAATCTTTTTAGTTTTGAATACAATTTTTCTTAAATTTAAATCAATGTATTGTGGTTCAAAGACTTAAAGTTGTTAAAGTCGATTGCAATTCGGCTGTAGTTTATATTCGTGACACCCATAGTATTTCTAATCTGTGAATTGTGATATGTTTTTCCTTTACGACAGCCTAAACAGCAGATAGCACTCCCATAAAAATCTCGAGCGAGTTACCGATTTATGCTCGACTAGTCAGAAATTTATTAATTGCCAAGGACCATAAACACAAGTTGGGGCCCGACTTTCAGCCACTTTATGACGAATGTCGGACGCAAAAGTCGGCTTGTGCCACATGTGGCGATTTATTGGCCGTGTCTCTGCCGCTGCCGTTGCGATCAAAATGAAAATCGAACGGCATCATTATCTTTCGCCCGATGCTCATAACTCAGAGAAAGAGTTGGGGAGAAAGGGTTCGGGATTGGGAATGGGAATGGGAATGGGAATGGGATCCATTCGCGATCCATCAAGCCTGCAGCCTTGGCGACAAGTCAAGTCCAAGTTCGAGTCTCAGCCCCCACTGGGCAGTGTCATAAAACTTCATTCATTCATTTATAATTTAATATCGATCGGTGTCGACTCACTCTGATGGATGGGATGGTCGACTGCTCGGTCGCTTGGATTGCACTGGAGCTGCACTGGCCGTCGTTAAATTTTATGCCAGCCCCATTGCCACGTTTATGGCCGGCAAAAGTTTGTGGCCAGCTTTTCCTCAACGCCGCATCGACTCATCGGCCATCGCAGCGACTGCGACTCATATTTTTGTGGCCTTTATGGCGATTGGCAAATCGAAGGCCATAATTCACAATTTAATTAAGAGCCGCAAATAAAGCGAGGTGCATTCTTGGCCCCAGTTTATCGTCCTGGCTCCGAACATCAAAACGCCAAGTCGGATCAAATGTCCCAGCTCGTCTCGGTTTCAGGCTCTTTCTCCTTTTATTGAGACTTAACTGCCCATGGTCTACGCCTACCTACACCAGGGAAAAGTGGGATCTGTACGTACCAGCAGGAAGTGGAAAGTGTTTGAAACTCCCAGATAGCGATCTAAATTATATATTAAATTAAGTGGTTGCTAAGCTGATTGATTTCTTACCAAATCGCTTTCCAACGGGTTATTGTTTATTTGGATTGGAACTGGAAATGGTACTTATTCATCATTAAAACCTGATAAATAAAATTTTATGAGCTGTTAAAAATTATATTTAAAATACAAATAGTATTTAACATGATTATAGATATTTTGAAAAGTCCTATAAAAATGAAATGTGACTCACCAATGCCTTGTATTCTAAATAATTTTTACAACATGACTAACTCTTTTATGAAAACAAAGGAATTTGAGAAACAAATAACTTTGATAATGATTAAGAACAAAATATATGTTAACATTTTTAAATAAATTACATATTACATATAATTTTAACCCGAGTATGGGGATCTATCCCCCGTGGATCCGCGCATGCTAACAATATTAAAATAATTTTAAGGAAAAGAAGGTATAGCGCATCATCCAATTAATCAATCTTTAATTTTACTTATAAAAGTAATACTAAAATGAAATTTATTTTTGTACTCGGTTGCTTGAAACATTTTTAAATCAAGCTCACCCTGAATTCTGACTCATATTACCGCGAACCACCTGAACATAATATCCGATATATACGTGTGTACTCGGTTTCCGAATGAGATCCCCGTATATGTCAGAAACTTTTCACCGCACAACAACATACAAAGGCAATAGCGAACCCCCGGGAAAGAATGGGCTGAGTAACTTGAAAGGAAGATGCGTAAAAGTAATTTTAATCGAAAATTGATTTATAATTGAAAAATCTCATTTGCAGAAATTGATTTACCGCAGCATCCGCAGCACCAAGAAGGAATCCTTCCTCGTCCTTATCGCCGTCGTCGCCCCATCTCGTCCTTTTCCATGCCACGTTGCTCTCCGGGAAAATGCGTGCAATATTTTTCTGTTCAAAGGCAGTTTTCCGGCGGGAAGGAAGCTGAGGTAACCGAGCGTCAAGTGGTTGAGCCAACAAAACTTTTGCCAGCAGAAAAATGTCTGCTAAGGACGAGCAGCTGAAAGAAGCTGCAGGAACTTGCTAAGAAATGAGCACACTCACCAAAATTAATGTGACTTAGGACGATGTCTCGTCCACATGTTGAACTAAGAAAAATAAAAATAAAATACTAAAATTAACATATTATAAAAGAATAAAAGTCGAAAAGATTTCAAAAAATTTGTTTACCTTCCAAATGAAGGGTTCTTAATAGTTTCTGTAAAAAAATTATTGCTACAATCTTTTAAATAAAAATGTACATGTACAAGGAGAACGCAGAAATCTTATCGGTAGGATTTTGTGTTGATGTAGTTCCTAAGATTTCCAAATGGAGGGGTTTTATTAATGTACTATGTATATTGTATGGTCTATAAATATTCAGTTTTCGTTTAAATAACAATTTGTAATACATTTTTTTTTGTATTTATTTATTCTTAAGCTAAAAGGCAAATGAAAATTACCTATTACCTATAAATAAATAAATAAAATTGTTCTATACATTGTGATATAACTTTTAAGAAATAGATTAATAAATTTGCCTTTGTGTAAAGAGATACAGATTGTAATGGATTGATTGTAGTTTATAGGATAAAGGCAAATATATAAATAGAAAAATGAAACAAAAACGTAAACAACATTTTACAATAGCATACTTTAAAAAATTTTTTAATTGGAAAATATAATGACCATCCCAACAGTTTCTTAGGAAACTAATTTCCTAAGGCGGCACCTCTATTTTCTCTGAGTGCATGTAAAAGGGGGAAAGTGGTCGAGGGAGTGGCCTGGCATCCTTTGGCCTGGCCCGTTATCTCCTGCCGCTTTGTCATCATCAAAGAAGCTGCCGCCGCGTTGCCAACTTCGCCCATTGACTTTGCTTACGTTTAGATTTTTCTAGCTATTTTCCAGCTGCTGCGGTGGGCGGCACGCTTGCGGCAACATTGTAATTTTGAAAATGAGTAAAGTTTGAAAAACCTTGTGGTTAGCCCCGATTGCGCCCGGCCACGCCCCCCGAGTGGTTCCCTTTCCACTTGGCCTGGCCAAGGCAAATCAAATTCTTATAGAAATCTTCTTGGCCCGTCAGCTCCCGACGCCGCTTCCGTTTCCGCTTTGACACTTGTTTTGAGCCCCCGCCGCCGCTAATTCAATTATGCAGCGAGTGCAGGAAAGTTTTTAAATTATTTAGCAAGTTCCACTCGGCCATCGTTCACTGCATCCGTAAATTATGTCCAACTCCGAGTCTGGCCGTCTCAAGTGTCATCTTTCTTTGTCTGGTGTCCTGCGACAGGACCTGGCTTTTGCCAATTATTGCAATGCGCCCTGTGCACGCACCTCCGGCAATTAAAATTAATTTCCTCGCAGACGCCATTGTCTGGCGGCGTCGGCGGAAAAGCCAG